AGGAACAGTCGGGATTGGGAACAATTGGAATTGGGAACACTCGGGAATGGGAACAATTGGGATTGGGAACAGTCAGGATTGGGAACAGTCGGGACAGGGAACAGTCAGGACAGGGAACAGTCGGGACAGGAACAGTCAGGATTGGGAACAGTCGGGACAGGAACAGTCGGGATTGGGAACAGTCGGGACAGGAACAGTCGGGACAGGAACAGTCGGGATTAGGAACAGTCGGGATGCAGTGTCGGAGCCCCTCCTTTCCCAGCTGCATTAACCCTTTCCTGCCTGATGTCCCGGCAGTTCCCGGCCCAGTATCCCTCCCCAGTCCAGGGAAGGGGCTCCACTGGGAGCTCTGGGAATTACTGGGAGTTCCTGGGAGTTACTGGGAATTACTGGGGGTTACTGGGAGTTACTGGGAGTTCCTGGTGCCGCTGGATGTGGGAACACCGGGATGAGAAGTTTTGTTTCCATACGAGGGGGGTTAAATGGAACCATTCCGGAGAGCCCCCGGTGTGGGGTCCCGGAATATTCCCAGTTTTATCCAGCTGGGAATTCAGCCCTGGCTGGGAGAGGAGGAGCCAAAAGGGGTTGGGATGTTCCCAGCTCAGATCTGCACCCCAAATTTTGTGCAGCTGATCTGGGGGGGGAAATTCCGGGGTGAAGGCTGGGATGGAACGGGATGTGGATTTTTATGGATTCAAGGGACAGAGCTCCGTGGACACAGCTCAATGTGCTGGAAAATTCTGGGAAAGGCTGGGAAAGGCTGGGAAAGGCTGGAAAATTCTGCAAAGCAATAGAAAATGCTGGGAAATCCTAGAAAAGGCGGGGGAATTCTAGAAAACTCTGGAAAATTCTGGAGAAGTCTGAAAATGCTGGAAAAGGCTGGAAAACTGTGGGAAAGTCTGGAAGATTCTAGAAAAGGCTGGGAAAGTCTGGAAAAATTCGCAAAGCGATTGAAAAGGCTGGGAAATGCTGGAAAACTCTAGAAAGTTCTAGAAAAAGATGGGAAATTCTGGGAAATGTTGGGAGTTCTGGAAAAGGCTGGAAAATTGTGGGAAAGTATGGAAAATTCTAGAAAAGGCTGGGAAAGTCTGGGAAAATTTACAAAGCAATGGAAAAGGCTGGGCAATGCTGGAAAATTCTAGAAAATTCTAGAAAAAGCTGGGAAGTTCTGGAAAAGGGTTGGGAATTCTGGAAAAGGCTGGAAAATTGTGGAAAAGGCTGGAAAATTGTGGAAAGGGCTGGAAAATTCTGGAACTTTCTGGCAAAGGGCCCTCAGCACACGCACGGATCCCTCAAGGGAGGACACACCTGAGCCCAGCAGCGGCGACTCCACGCTGAGGCTGGGCAGACTCCCGGGGTGGCCGAAACTCCGGGAAGAATTCCCGACGCTGGAGCTGACGAGGGATCCCCCGGAGAAGGGCGAGGACGAGGTGGAGGGGGATCCGGCCAGCTGAGCCCCCAGGACCTCTTTGCCCTTGCCCGCCTTGGGCCTGCCGGGGCCGTGCTTGTTCTTCTTGCTGCCCTTGTGCTTCTTCTCCTTGAGGCCTTCGCCTTCCTCGGCGCCCAGCGGCGGCATCCGCTTGTGGCCGGCCGCGGATCCGGCCGTGGAGCCTCCGGAACCTTTGTAATCCACGGGGGAAGCGTCGCGGGCTCGCGGCGGGGCCGCGGCCGAGGTGGAGAAGCGCATGACGGAGCCGAAGCCGGAGAAGATCACCTTCTGCTCGAAGGCGTCGGCCTTGGCGGCCTCGGAGAGCGGCGAGCAGCGCGAGGATGAGGCGGAGCCGGAGGCTTTGCGGAATTTCTCGTCCTCCTGCTCCAGTTTGGGGAAGGGCAGCAGGTCCTGGGAGGCGGGAAGGCCGCAGGAGGAGCCTGAGGGAAGGGAAGAGCTCAGAGGGCAGCGAGCAGGGCACGGCGGGGGGGCTGGTGCTTCCTCGTGCTGCTCTTCCTCTTCCTTCATCACCGGGAACTTCTCTTCTTCACTCTCCTCTTCCTCGTCCTTCATCCCTCTCCTCTTCCTCCTCCCTTATCCCTCTCCTCTTCCTCACTCTCCTCTTCCTCATCCTTCATCCCTCTCCTTTAGTCCTTCATTCCACTCCTCTTCCTCCTCCCTTATCCCTCTCCTCTTCCTCACCCTCCTTTTCCTCATCCTTCATCCCTCTCCTCTTCCTCCTCCTTCGCCACCGGACACTTCCCTTCCTTGCTCTTCTCTTCTTTGTCCTTCATCCCACTCCTCTTCCTCCTCCCTCATCCCTCTCCTTTTCTCCTTCATCCCTCTCCTCTTCCTCCTCCTTCATCACCGGGAACTTCCCTTCTTCACTCTCCTCTTTCCTCATCCTTCATCCCACTCCTCTTCCTCCTCCCTCATCCCCCTCCCCTTCCTCGCTCTCCTTTTCCTCATCCTTCATCCCTCTCTTTCTGTCCTTCATCCCTCTCCCCTTCCTCTCTCTCCTCTTTCTCTTCCTCCATCCCTCTCCTCTTCCTCACTTTCCTCTTCCTCCTCCTTCCTCACTCTCCTGTCCTTCATCTCTCCCCTCTTCCTCCTCCTTCATCCTTCCCCTCTCCCTCCTCCTCCTTCTCTTCCTCATTATTCATCCTTCCCCCTTCATCTTTCCCATCCTCCTCCTCCCTCCTCCCTCCTCCTCCTCCTCCTCCTCACCCGCCGCCTGGAAGGTTCCTCCGGGCGCGGCCGTTCCGAAGCCTCCGGAGCTTTTCCCGCTTCCCGTCTTCTTCCCCTTGTGGCTGCTGCCGTGGCCGGAGCATTTCCTGCCCTTGGCCTCGGGCCGGGCCAGCTCCGAGCTCTCCTTGGGAGCCTCGTGGTGGCCACCGGAGCCCTGGGGGAGGCCACGGGGTCACTCCAGGATTTTCCCCATTCTCCCAATTTTCCCCAAGTTTCCCGATTTTTTCCTGATTTTCACCAATTTTTCCTGATTTTTCCCGATTTTTCCCAGTTTTTTCCGATTTTTCCCAATTTTTCCCAATTTTTCCCAGTTTTCCCCAGTTTTTCCCGATTTTCCCAGTTTTTTCCGACTTTTCCCGATTTTCCCCGATTTTTCCCGATTTTCCCCGATTTTTCACGATTTTTCCCGATTTTTCCCGATTTTTCCCATTTTTTCCGATTTTCCCCCATTTCTCCTGATTTTCCCCATTTCCCCTGATTTTCTCACTTTTTCAAGATTTCCCCGACTTCCCCATTTTTCCTGGATTTTCCCATTTTCCCCAATTTTCCCAATTTTTCCAGATCTTCCCAATTTTCCCTATTTCCCCAATTTTCCCTATTTCCCCAATTTTCCCTATTTCCCCAATTTTCCCGGTTCTGCCCGATTTTCCTGCTTTTCCCCAATTTTTTCCTGCTTTTCCCAAATTTCCCCCCTCTAGAGCAGGAATGCTGCTTGGGAATGGCACCGGGAACGGATCCCAGGGATTTGGCTCATCCCAGGGAACCGCAGGGAATTCCGGAGGGAAGGGAGCCGAGTCTCCAGCTCCAAAATCCTCCGGAATTTGGCTGCAATTCCATCAAGGAATTCGGATTCCTGCCTCAGGTGCGCTGCTCCCAGCACCCCCATCCCACCAGGGGATTTCCTTGGGAATGGGATGGGATCAGAGATTCCCGGGGGAATTTCCAGGGAATTACAGGGAATATCCGCTGGGTGTTCTGGGGAGGAGAGAGGGAACCAGCTCAAGGAACAACAGGAAAACGGGAATAAACAGGGCAGGAGGAAAACGCTGGAAGTGGGAATTGAAGGGAAATCCCTCCGGGAATTAACTGGAATTGGCTGGAATTTTGTGCAGGAGGAGCAGATTTTCCTGCCCCTTTTCCCAGTTTTTTGGCTGGATTTTCCTGCCCCTTTTCCCAGTTTTTTGGCTGGATTTTGCTGTCCCTTTCTCCCGTTTTTTTGGCTGGATTTCCTGGGTGGATTTTCCTGCCCATTCCCAGTTTTTTGGATGGATTTTCCCATCCGATGGATCCGGTACCTTCTCGGCAGCCACGGTCGGGGGCGCTGGGGGGAGGCTGCTGGGGGACTCCGGCCGCTTCTTGTGCTTCTGCTTCGGCCTCTCCTTGTCCTTGCGGCTCTGGAAAAAACACCGGGAGCCTCTGGAATGCCGGAATTCCCAGTGCTGGGAAGGGCAGTGCCAGATCCCATCAAGACATCCGAATAAATCCCCATTCCTGCAGTTTTCCAGAGGCAGATCCCATAAATAGATTCCCTGTTCCCATTGTTTTCCAGCAGAGATCCCATAAAGAAATCCGAATAAATCCCGATTCCTGTTGTTTTCCATTGGCAGATCCCAGAAATAAATCCATATAAATCCCTATTCCCATTGTTTTCCAGAGGTTAATCCCAGAAATGAATCCAAATAAATCCCGACTCCCGCTGTTTTCCAGCCGAGATCCCATAAAGAAATCCAAATAAATCCCGATTCCCGCTGTTTTCCAGCACAGATCCCATATAAAGAAATCCAAATAAATCCCTGTTCCCGCTGTTTTCCAGCAGAGATCCCATAAAGAAATCCAAATAAATCCCTGTTCCCGCTGTTTTCCAGCAGAGATCCCATAAAGAAATCCAAATAAATCCCTGTTCCCGCTGTTTTCCAGCACAGATCCCATAAAGAAATCCAAATAAATCCCGATTCCCGCTGTTTTCCAGCACAGATCCTGCAAAATCCGCACCCATCCAGGGGCAGGAAAAATCCTTTATTCCTCTCCCACTTCCCTCAGATCCCAAATCCCCAAAAAAACCCCCAAATCCGGGATTTTGGGGCTATTTTTGGGAATAAAACCAACCCCACACAAACCCCGGGCTCTGGCTCTCACATTCCCAGCTGCTTCTCCCAGAAATCCCAAGGAAAATTGGATTTCTGGGATCCCGGAGCTGTTTTTTAGGACCAGCAGAATTAAGAATTTCCATCCCAGCCAGACCTGGCTCCGAAATAATTCCTTTATCCAGAAAAACCCTTTCCAGAGGTGGATTTAACCCCTTTTCCCGGATAATCTGATCCAAACCATTCCCGAATTCCCACAAATTCATTTTCATCCCGAAAATCCCCCCTCGCTGGCCAAAAATCAGAATTTTTTATCCATGGAAACTTCAAATCCGAGGGGAAAACCCCCAGGGTTTTGAGGTTGAAAGCCGCCTTCACCTCCTGGAATGAGGAAATCCAGGGAATTTTGGGGATTTGGGGGATTTTGGGAATTTTCCTGACCTTTTTTGGCCGCTCGTGGTGGGACAGGTGCTTTTCCTGGGTGGGAGACGCCGAGCGGCTCCTCCGGCCCGGGATGAAGGAGCTGCTCCCGGAATGGCGCGAGGTCTTCTGAAGGAATCCGGGATGGGAGGTGGGAAAAGGGGGGAAAAGAGGGAAAAGGGGAAAGGAAGGAGGAGAAAGGGGGAAAAAAGGGGGGAAAATGTGGGAAAAAAGAGGGAAAATGGGGATGAAAGGAGGGAAAAGGGGAAGAAAAGAGGGAAAATGGGAAAAAGAAGAGGGAAAAGGGGGAAAGAAGAGGGGAAAGGGAGAAAAGAGTGGGAAAAGGGGAAAGAAAAGATGGAAAAAGGGAAAAAGAAGAGAGAAAAAGGGAAAAAAAGAGGGGAAAGGGGAAAAAAAGAGGGGAAAGGGGAAGAAAAGAGGGAAAAGGAGGGAAATGAAAGGAGGGAAAAGGGGAAGAAAAGAGGGAAAATGGGAAAAAGAAGAGGGAAAAGGGGGAAAAAAAGAGGGGGAAAGGAGAAAAGAGGAAAAAGGGAGAAAACAGTGGGAAAAGTGGAAAGAAAAGATGGAAAAAGGGAAAACATTATTCCCTAAACAAATAAAAACGCCCTCAAATAAACGGAATTCCTGAAACAAATGGAATTGCCGAAAGAAATAAAAATTCCCGGAAGAAATAAAAATTCCCGGAAGCGACAGAATGTCCCGGAATCCCGGGAATTCCCGGCGCTCACCATCTTGTTGAAGTGGTATTTGCAGTAGCCGCAGTATTTGACGTTGTCCACTTCCAGCACCTCCTCCTCGCACAGCAGCCCGGCCATCTGCGCGCTGCCGCGGGAAACGGGAACAGCGGGAAAGGCGGCGGGAAAACAGGGAAAATCAGCGGGAAAATCGGTGGGGAAACAGGGAAAATCAGCGGGAAAATCAGTGGGGAAACAGGGAAAATCAGCGGGAAAATCGGTGGAGAAACAGGGAAAATCAGCGGGAAAATCGGTGGGGAAACAGGGAAAATCAGCGGGAAAATCGGTGGGGAAACAGGGAAAATCAGCGGGAAAATCGGTGGGGAAACAGGGAAAATCAGCGGGAAAATTGGTGGGGAAACAGGGAAAATCAGCGGGAAAATCGGTGGGGAAACAGGGAAAATCAGCGGGAAAATCAGCGGGAAAGGCAGCGGGAAAACAGGGAAAATCATCGGGAAAATCAGTGGGAAAAATCAGCGGGAAAATCGGTGGGGAAATAGGGAAAATCAGCAGGGAAACAGGGAAAATCAGCGGGAAAATCAGCAGGAAAAGCAGTGGGAAAATCAATGGGAAAATGGGAAAACCAGGACAATCAGTGGGAAAACAGTGAAAAAATGGGAAAATCAATGGGAAAATAAGGAAGAACCAGGGAAAGTTGGCAGGAAAATAAGGGAAAACCAGGGAAATTCCAAACCCCACAACCCTCGGGGAATGAGATCCCAGATCCAGGGCAGGGGAATGAACATTCCAGAGGTTCCAACAGAATTCCCAAACTTCCAGAACTCTCTGGAAAAACCTCCTGGGCCAGGAGAAAGAGGCAATTCCAGCCCTAAATAACCCCGGGGGGGATCAACCCCAAACCCCTCAGGGAACGAGACCCCAAATCCAGATCAGGGGAACGAACATTCCATTGGTTCTGACGGAATTCCTTGGAAACTTCAGGAACTCCTTGGGCCTTCCTAGGCCAGGAGAAAGAGACAATTCCGGCCTTAAATAACCCCAAACTCAGAAACCCCGGGGAACGAGACCCCAAATCCAGGGCAGGGCATGAGGAGGGGAGGAACATTCCAGAGGCGAATTCCCGGGAATCTCACCAGGTGACGTGGAAGGCCTGGCGGCAGCCGTGGCGGTTGCAGGCCATGCAGGCCCCGGAGGCCGCTTTGCTCTCCCGGCCCTGCTCCTCGCAGATGTAGCAGGTCTGGGATCCGGGAATTAAAAAAAAAAGTGGGAAAAGCCACGTTTTCCATGAGGAAAAGCCTCCAGGAATTCCTAAATCTCATGGAATGCGTTGGGTCGGGAGGGATTTTAAAGCTCAGCGAATTCCGACCCCGCTCCCTCCCTCCCACATTCCGTTGTGTCGCTCCTACGAAGGAATTTCTGGGATATTGAGGAATTTCTGAGGGATTTCTATGAAAATTCTGGGATATTCCTCGGTGGGATACACGAAACTTCTCCTTTTTTTCCCCAAAATCCCAACTGTGCCATTGGATGCAACACGGAATTCCGTGGATCCAGTCAGCTCCAGTCGTTCCACCCAGAAATTCCTCAAATTCCCATTTTTTTCCCCCAAACTCATCCAGATATGGAGGATCCAATACAGAATTCCATGGATCCAGTTGGTTCCGATTGTTCCACCAAGAAATTCCTCAAATTCCCATTTTCTCCCCCAAAACCCAACTGTCCCATTGAAACCAACAGAGAATTCCACGGATCCAGTCAGCTCCAGTCATTCCACCCAGAAATCCCTCAAATTCCCATTTTTTCCCCCAAACTCATCCAAATATGGAAGATCCAACACAAAATTCCATGGATCCAGTCGGATCCGATTGTTCCACCAAGAAATTCCTCAAATTCCCATTTTTCCCCCCAAACTCATCCAAATATGGAGGATCCAACACAAAATTCCATGGATCCAGTCGGTTCCGATTGTTCCACCAAGAAATTCCTCAAATTCCCATTTTTCCCCCCAAACTCATCCAAATATGGAGGATCCAACACAAAATTCCATGGATCCAGTCGGATCCGATTGTTCCACCAAGAAATTCCTCAAATTCCCATTTTTCCCCCCAAACTCATCCAAATATGGAGGATCCAACACAAAATTCCATGGATCCAGTTGGTTCTGATTGTTCCACCAAGAAATTCCTCAAATTCCCATTTTCTCCCCCAAAACCCAACTGTCCCGTTGAAACCAACAGAGAATTCCATGGATCCAGTCAGCTCCAGTCATTCCACCCAGAAATTCCTCAAATTCCCATTTTTTCCCCCAAACTCATCCAAATATGGAGGATCCAACACAAAATTCCATGGATCCAGTCGGTTCCGATTGTTCCACCAAGAAATTCCTCAAATTCCCATTTTTCCCCCCAAACTCATCCAAATATGGAGGATCCAATACAGAATTCCATGGATCCAGTCAGCTCCAGTCATTCCACCAAGAAATTCCTGAAATTCCATCGATTTGGGGAACACAGAGAAGCCTCAAAAATTTCCTGGCGAACGCGGGGATTTCCTTGGTTTTTAAGGGAATCCCAGCGGCTGGGAGGGTCGGGATGAACCGGGAAGGAGCTGTGGTGGGGTCGGGATGATCCCAGAATCCCGAAATCCCGGATTTTACCTTGTTGAAGCGGTCGTGGGGGACGTACTGGAGCACGATGGGCTCCATGGTGAGCACGTTGGCAAACTGCACCTCGGGGATGTACAGGGCACACACCACGTGGGCCCAGCCTGGAAAAGGAAGGGAAAAATGGGAATTCGGTCCAGGAATCCCCAAAAAAAAAAAAAAATAAAAGCTCCGTGCCAAAAAAATTTTGGTCCCCAAAAAAATGGCTGTTCCAAAAAAAAACACCACATGTTGGAAATGCTGCTGGTGCCAAAAAAAGTCTGTCCTAAAAAAATTCTGTGCCAAAAGAAGCGTCTGTTCCCGAAAAAACCCTGCATCCCAAAAAACCTGCATCCCAAAAAAGTCTTCATCTCAACAAACCTGCATCCCAAAAAACCTGCATCCCAAAAAACCTGCATCCCAAAAAACCCTTCATCCCAAAAAACCTGCATCCCAAAAAACCCTTTATTCCCAAAAACCTGCATCCCAAAAAAGTCTTCATCTCAACAAACCTGCATCCCAAAAAAGTCTTCATCCCAAAAAAGCCGCATCCCAAAAAAACTCTCCAAGCCAAAAAACTCAATGCCAAGAAAACCTCTGTCCCATAAAAAAAATTCCTTCCATCCCAAAAAAATCCTCCATGAGAAGGAAAATTCATCCCAGAAAACCCTCCATTCCCAAAAATACTTCTTTCCCAAGATCCCAAAAAGTGTCTATCCCAAAAAAACCGCTTCCATGCCAAAAGATCAACCATTCCCATAAAAATCCTCCATCCCAAAAAATCCTCCATCCCAAAAAACCTCCCATCCCAAAAAACCTTCCATCCCCATAAAAAACTCCATCCCAAAAAATCTGCATCCCAAAAAAATTCTCCATCCCCAGAAATCCCTTTATCCCAAAAACACCCCAAAAATCCTCCATCCCAAAAAAAGGATCCAGGGAAAACCTCCCGGGAACGGCGCCTGAAAAGAATCCAGGGAAAAGCTCATTTATTTATGGAGCCGGGAGCTCGGATCCATGGAAATCCTGAGGAATTCCAGCAGGAAAATCCCGCATGGAAAAACCCCCGGGATGGGGCCTGGATCCCGTTAAAATCCCGCGGATCGGGAAACGATTCCAGCGGGATCAACCCCAAAATTCCCGAATTTTGGGCCGGTTTTGACGCCGAGCCGAGCTCAGGTAGGGAAAAAATTCCTTTCCAAAGTGAATTTGTTGGGAAAAATCGCGGAGAGCAGAATTCCGGGTGGGAATATCCGACAACACTCACCGCCGTTGTCCGTGCGTTTCAGGGCTCCGTCCTTGTGGGGACACAGCTCGCACCTCTGGAATGGAGCAAAAAGTGGGAAAATTAAGGGAATTTTATGGGAAAAAGTTCCCAATTGGCGGCAAAATTGAATCGGTAAAATTTGAAATTGAATCGGTAAAATTCGAAATTGATCGGTACAATTGAAAATTTATTTTATCAATATTTTTATTTTATTTTATTTTATTTTACTTTATTTTATTTTATTTTATTTTATTTTATTTTATTTTATTTTATTTTATTTTACTTTACTTTATTTTATTTTATTTTATTTTATTTTATTTTACTTTATTTTATTTTACTTTATTTTATTTTATTTTATTTTATTTTATTTTATTTTATTTTATTTTATTTTATTTTATTTTATTATTTTTCTTAATTTTATTAATATTTTAATTAATATCAATACATAGAAATATTTTATTTAACCAATAAAATTAAAAATTAACGGGTAATAACTGAATATTAATTGATAAAATTCAAACTTAATCGACACAATTGAAAATTAATCAATAGCATTTCAATTTCCTGGATAAAATAGAAATTTAATTGATGGAATTGAAATTTAATCAATAAAATTCAAAATTAATCTATTACATTGAAAATTGATCAGAAAAATTAAAAGCTCATTGGTACAATTGAAAATTAATCAATAAAAATTGAAATTTTGTGGATAAAATAGAAATTTAATTGATGCAATTGAAACTTAATAATGGACACAAATTAATTAATTATAAGTGACACAATTGAATTAATTGACACAATTGAAAATGAACCCATGAAAATTTCAATTTTGTGGCTAAAACAGAAATTTAATTGACACAATTAAAAATTAATCCATAAAATCCAAAAATTAATTGACACAATTGCAAATTAATCCATGAAAAATTCCAATTCTGTGGATAAAATAGGAATTTAATCCATAAAATTCCAAATTAATGGATGCAATTGAAACTCAATCAATCCATTTCAAAGTTAATTGGCGCAATTGAAAATTAATCTATGAAAATTCGGATTCCATCCAGGATTTTTCCGTACTCACCACCCTGGCTGCTCTTTCCTGGGATTCGCATTTCCGGCAGAACCAGGGGCCGGTGGGAACCTGGACAATTCCATAACAGGCTGGGAAAAAAGGGAAAAAAAATTAAAATTCCAGATTAAACCGCTTTAAAATCAATTTATTGTTGATTTCTCAGGGATTTAAAAACGTTTGGAGCAGCCTGGAAAATTCCCTGTCCATGGAAAAGCCGGATGAGCTTTAAGATCTTTTCCGATCCCGAGAATTCCGTGATTCCAAAATAAAAAAAATTGCATCCACAACATTTTAAATTCACTTTTTCCCATCAGTTCAGCTCTTCCCAGGAATTCTGGGGATTCATTTGTTCAATTCTATGCCCGGAATGAAAAATTCCTGGAATTCCTGGAAATCTGGCCCAAACTGGAATGGAACCGGTCGGGAATTGCGGCCGAGCTTGGAATTCTTCACCTCTCACCTCCCACTGCTGATCCGAGAATGAAAAAAATGTGGATTTTGATGGATTTTTATGGATAATACGGAACCCCAAAGACATAATTGGGATTAAAATCCTAATTGGCGCCAGGAGGGGAATTATCCCGGAGAGAATCCCACCCAAAATTCCCATTTCTTTCCCTGTTTTCCCCATTTTCCCTGTTTTTTTTTTTTTTTCCTTTGGGAATAAAACCCTCCCCAGGTCCGGGAGGAGCCCCGAGGGTTCCTTGTTGAGGTTTGAGCTATTTTGGGAATAAAAACCTCCCCGAAGCCGCAGGGGCTGGGCCGGGCTCCAAAAGGGAATCCCCACATCCTGCAGGGCCCCCCAAAACCCCAAATGAACTCCTCGAGCTTCCCATGGGGGCAGAGCGAGGATCCGAGATTGTTCCCGACCCTCTGGAACTGTTCCCGATCCTCTGGAATTGTTCCCGACTCTCTGGAACTGCTCCCAACCCTCTGGAATTGTTCCTGATCTTCTGAAACTATTCCCGACCCTCTGGAATTGTTCCCGACCCTCTGGAACTGTTCCTGACCCTCTGGAATCGTTCCCGACCCTCTGGAATTGTTCCCGACCCTCTGGAATTGTTCCCGACCCTCTGGAATTGTTCCCGACCCTCTGGAATTGCTCCCGACCCTCTGGAATTGCTCCCGACACTCTGGAATTGCTCCTGACCCTCTGGAACTGCTCCCGACCCTCTGGAATTGTTCCCGACCCTCTGGAACTGCTCCCGACTCTCTGGAACTGCTCACGACCCTCTGGAGCTGTTCCTGATCCTCTGGAATTGTTTCAGACCCTCTGGAACTGTACCCGATCCTCTGGAATTGTTCCAGACTCTCTGGAACTGCTCCCGACCCTCTGGAATTGCTCCCGACACTCTGGAATTGTTCCTGACCCTCTGAAACTGTTCTTGAATATTTGAGACTCTTCCTGCCCCTCTGGATCTGTCCCCGAAAATCTGAAACTCTTCCTGACCCTCAGAAACGGTTCCTGAAAATCTGAAACTGTTCTTGAAAATCTGGCACTGTTCCTGACCCTCTGGAATTGTTCCCGACCCTCTGGAACTGTTCCTGACCCTCTGGAATTGTTCCCGACCCTCTGGAATTGGTCCTGACCCTCTGGAAACGCTTCCTGACCCTCTGGAATAGTTTCCGACCCTCTGGAACTGCTCCCGACCTTCTGGAACTGTTCCCGACCCTCTGGAATTGTTCCCGACCCTCTGGAATTGTTCCCGCCGCCACACAAAACCGTTCCTATCAATTCTGGGAGGCCGGAATGTCCCTGAAGAAGCCGGAGCAGCGGGGGCCGGATGGAGCCGTTCTCCGGGTTCATCCTGGTGGTGAGGATGGGGCAGAACCGGGAGCAGTGGAACGGAACCGGGAATTGGTGCTCGGAGAGCCCCCGGTGCTGGGGGGCACCGCCAGGGCTGGGAACCCCCAGCGGGTTTTGGTTTCCCAAAAAAAGCCGTGGATGTCCCCGGAAACCCCGGGAGTGTCCCTGGCCAGGCTGGACACTGGGAGGGGAGGGGAGGGGACAGCGGGAGGTGACCCCGGGTGGGATTTGGGGTCCTTCACCCCAAATATCCCTGAGCCCACAGCCCCGAGCGCTCGGGGTGGGAGAGCACGGCCCCGGTGGGGTCACCTGTGGGGTCACCTGTGGTGTCACCCCGTGGTGTCACCCCGTGGGGTCACCTCGGTCACCGGCCGGGGCTGCAGCCACGGACGCGCCAAAAACAGGGAGAGCAACAGAGCCCGAGGGCCACAAGCCCTGAGGCTGACAGCGGGACACACGGACAGGGGACACACGGACAGGGGACACACGGACGGGGGGACACACGGACGGGGGGACACACGGACACGGGACACACGGACTGAGGGACACAGGGACAGGGGGGACACAGGGACAGGGAGGACACACGGACAGAGTGGCACACAGACTGAGGGACACACGGACAGAGTGACACATGGACAGAGCGGGACACACGGACAGAGGGGACACACAGACAGGGGGACACACGGCCAGAACCGGACCCACGGACAGAACCGGACCCACGGACACAGCCGGACACAGGGACAGAACCGGACACACGGCCAGAACCGGACACACGGCCAGAACCGGACCCACGGACACAGCCGGCCCCACGGACACAGCCGGACCCACGGACACAGCCGGCCCCACGGACACAGCCGGACCCACGGACACAGCCGGACACTCGGACACAGCCGGACCCACGGACACAGCGAGCTCCGGGAAGGAGGAGCGGGAGCCGCGCCGGGAAATGGCCGGGATGGCAGAGCCGGGAGAGGAGCGCGGCCCGGGCGGCCCCGAACCCTCCGCGCGTTCCGGAGCCACCGAGCGGGGCCCGCCGCGCCCCGGGCCGGCCGCCAGCACCGATCGGAACCCGCATTTTGTTCCGTTCCCCGAGCCCAGGACAAACTTTCCGGGCCCGCTACCGCGCTCTGGGGGCGGGCTCGGAGTCATTTAAAATGCAAATGGCCCGTGCGGCCGGGAGCAGCGGGAGGAGGCGGAGGAGGAGGAGGAGAAGGAGGAGGAGGAGGAGGAGGGCTGCCTTCCTCCCTCCCTGCCCTCGCAGGAGGCAGCTCCGGGCCCCGCCGCCCCCTCCGGGGCTTCCCCGCGGCCCCCCCGGCACCCCCGGCCCGGGCTGGGGGCGGCAGCACCGCCACCCCCCCTTCCCCTCCCCGCTGAACCGGGAGGGGGCACCGGAGAAACCCCCCCG